GGTTTCTTCACCCTTTCTCCCTCATATATTCTCCGAAAGCCAACGTTCATTCTCTTCCCTCTCCGCCGCCTCCCTTTTGGCCGCATCTCAGCCTCAATCTCCTCTTCTTCCTCAACAGAATTCAAAATTTCCTTCGCCCCCTCGCCCAAAAAAGTCCTAATTCCCGATACGTCGCCTCATTGCCCCTCTGTTGCTCCCCTTCCCGTCATCATACCTTGGATCGTCCGCGACGAGAATGGCAATCTTAAGCTTCAGGCCACTCCCCCTGTCGGATTCCTTCAAGCGATATCCGAGTCCAAGCCATCTCCAACCAAAGAAAAGAAGAAGGAGCCTGTCGGATTCCTTCAAGCGATATCCGAGTCCAAGTCATCTCCAACCAAAGAAAAGAAGGAACGTGCCTTGGCGCCAAAGCATTCCAAGGCAGCGAGGAGGTTTTACAATCAGAATGTGAAGGAACCGCAGAGGCTTAGCAAAGTTCTAGCTGCTGCCGGAGGTACTTATTGTACATTTAGTTTTAATACTTTGGTAATTTTCATGTTGTCCGTCTGTATGCTTCAGTGGCGTCCAGGAGGGGTTGTGAGCGTCTGATATTTGAAGGGAAAGTGACAGTTAATGGGTCTTTGTGCACCTCTCCTCAGGTGTGTTTCTCTTATCGATCCAATTTTGGCTAAGATTTTTGTTGCAGAGTCCATGTGCGGCATTGATTCCAGCTCTTATGTAGTGAATCATATTCTTCTATAGTCTTAGTTCTTTGATTCTGTTTTAGCCTTACAGACACTCAATCAGATAAATGCACACGGGATTTCTAGTCTTTCTAGCTTTTTGTAAATGCTTCATGTGGTATACATTGATGGATTTATAGTCTGTTATTTTCTTTTTCTATGATTTATATTTAGAAGCATGTTACTGTATAATTAATCATATCAATAGAGCATTTTTTGCTGAAAAAGTCCTTATCATACAGAAACAAATAGCTTTTGCTCATGCAGAGAAACAATGTTGTTCATGAAATATTTATAAATCATATCAATATCTTATCTTTGTTTAAATGTAGGCACTGGTTGACCTCTCAAAGGATTCAATCTATGTTAATGGGAACCGTCTTTCTAAAAGGCTGCCTCCAAAGTTGCATTTTGCTCTTAACAAGCCTAAAGGGTGAATTTGTTTTTTCTATTTTATATAATTATGGACAGAGTTCCTTCAGGTGCATAAGATTTGTAAAGAAAGTAATATGATATTGAATTGCATAAATAGGTACATTTGTTCGAATGGCGAAGAAACTAAATCTGTGGTTTCCTTATTTGATGATTATTGGAAGAGCTGGGTATGGTCATTGTGTGTGCTAGCTGACGAACATATTTTACAGATTTCACAAGTTACAAAATCTTTGCAACTTGGAGGATTTTTATCACCTGACAGCACCTTTTATTCCTTTGAAAATTTTTTGGTGAATTTTTTTCCTGTTCCCACAGAATAAAACAAATCCTGGCATACCAAGGCCTCGGTTATTCACTGTTGGGCGTCTTGATGTTGCAACTACTGGCTTGATTTTTGTTACCAATGATGGTACTGACATTCTTTAATTTTTGAAATACAACAATGCAGTATGCGTGTATGGAAAAACATCTCTTATCATACCCAGTTTATTTTTTAATCAGGTGATTTTGCTCAACAAATTTCTCACCCCTCTTCTAAATTTACAAAAGAGTAAGTCTATAGACTAATTTCTATGATTTTGAAAATTTGTTTGTAATGATGTTATCTTTTCTGTCGTCTGATAGTAATTGTACGGAATTATGTTACCCATTGTAAAATGACTCTTTGTTTCATGTTGTTATATATTGCGGACTAAATTGTATCAAGAGGGTCGTTAATGAATCAAACGTAATCATTAATAAAAGATGATAAATTTGAAGTGAGCTATCTTAGATACTTTAAAGCTATTGGCTGTTATATTCATATTGTTGTACAATTCAATATGTAGATATGTTGCAAGTGTAGATGGTGTTGTTCATCGAAGGCACTTGACTGCTCTAAGTGATGGCACAGAAGTTGAAGGCATGCATTGTGCACCTGATTATGTGGAATTATTGCCTGCACAGCCAAATGTTCCTAGGTCTAGACTTCGTATAGTGGTATTCTTACTTATTTCTATTGAATATTACTCATTTTTCATTAGTTGATTTGCTAATTGCTTTTTTGGGCACTATAGTAGAGATGTTTAGCATTATATGGTGAAAGAATGTAAGTTGCAACAATTGATGCTAGTGATTTCATGTTTTTTTTTATTGTGGAAACATTACAAGCTCTCATGCTTTTAATATTTGTTAGAAACCACTAGTTGAATGCCACTTGGTAATTCAACGTAGAAAAGCATCTCAAAGCCTACTACGTTTTAAGCATTAGATACTGAAAACGTTACATTTTTTGAAGTTAAGTTTGTAAATTTATCAATTTCCATGTTCATGTGTCGATGGAGGGGAGCTCGGTTAACTTTGAATTTTAAATTTTGGAGGCCAACTTGATCTTTAGTTTTGGAGACATCCAAATTGATCCAAATTTATGCGGGCACTGTGTTCAATGCATATAATGAACTAGTTGAACATATATTTTTTATGCTTTGATTTGAACTAAAATTCATTTGGCATGTTGAAATAAAAAACATTTGAAGCATACACTGAGCAAACATATTTTAAATCTAAAAGTAAAAATAAAAAATAAATAAATAGAAATGATGCTAAATAGATAGCTAGTAATTAACTATTTTTTATTGGAAGCCTAAACTGCATGTATTATTATTCTGTTGCTGCAAATGTAAAATGCAAGTCTAAGCTGAACATGTTAATATGTAATAGTTGGTTTTTTAAAATTTATGTGCACCCTTTAAGCTATAGCAGTAGCAACAAAGTTTGGGTCAAAGGGCCAGGTTCTACTTAGGCTAATGAATTGGGCGGGATAATTGACACAATGCTTCAGATGAATTCATGCAACAATTGAGGATCACAATCTGAGACTAAATCCTGCCATTTTTTGTGACGACAAAAATGATGCTAGGAAAAAATGTTCAAAAAATATTTAGAAAATGTGGTATTTGAGAAGGGATTGATGTATCTTGCCTTTTGTATTGTGCAAATGTTGTCCTGCTCTTATTCAAACCCAAGACTACTGAGCTGCTAAGGAGTTTTCCTAAATAATGATTTAGGCCCATTGGTATATGACTTCTTAGAATCTAGTATTTCATTAATTGAAAACTAGGGTGAAATGCAAAGAACACCCGAAAAAAGTGGTATATGACTTCTTAGAATCTAGTATTTCATTAATGCAAAACTAGGGTGAAATGCAAAGAACACCCGAAATAATTTAGCAGCCACTACCAGTTCTTAGGGAAAACGTTATTATTGCAATGTAAACAAAAAATTTTCTAAAACTTGTTCCCTAATATATTATTAAAGTTGCCTAAAACTTAAAATTTTGCTAGAAAATTGGGAAGAAGTGAAAACCACACGGTAAAGTTATTTTTTTTTCAAACCACGAAGCTAAAAAAAAAAAAAAAACGGCCGACAATTATTGCAAACTCAACAAATTTCATCCAAGCATGCAAAATCATTCAAAATATATGTAAAGAAAGAAGAATAAGCATAAAGAAACCAAATAGAATCTAAGCCTCACATCGATACGTGGAGAAGTTTCTTCCTAGACTTTGCTGTTATGTCTTGTAACACACTTGAAGACTTTACATCAAGTAAATGCACAAAAATTTTAGAGGAACATAATTTCATCAGCTGATTGAGCTATTTTGCGAAGATTCAAGGGAAATGTTCCAAATAGGACTTCAGACTTAGGAAGACATCGTCACAACTTTTTTTCGGATTGATTTTTGATGACTTACATCTTTATTTATGGTCTAAAAAGTCCAATTATTGACAATATTTTAGAATCCTCATAAGTTAGCTTAATATTGTTTGTTGCGACTGGGACAATCTAGAATTTTGACTAAACAACAAGTTTCCTATTACAAATTGATCAAAATACATTAGAACCATTTTTTCTATAAATCTAAGATGAAACAAGGAAACAAACAACTGATTATTAGAGGAAACAAGAGTATCCAATCTCTGACAATGGAGAAGCTGAATAAAAGGAGGGTACTGATTGCAAATAATATAGAATTCTTATATGGAAATAGTTGTCAACAAAAATATCACGTGAAATGCACAAATACTCTCTTAGGTGCTACAATTCAATGGTAGATGGAGTTGTAAGAAGATGATACCAGCAAGCAATTTATGACCCCAAAATCTAGTGCAAACAAACAAGGAATTAAGGTGCGGAAATAAAGGATTAAAAATCAGATGCACTTAAGGAATCATATCATGGATCAGAATAGTTTGTGATGACAAAATTATAGAAGTAGTAGACTTTCCAAATTGTATCACATTGAAGTCCTATAATTACAGCTTGTGTAAAATGATACGCGACATATCAGTAAGTAAACCATCACGTGAGATCTTATCTCTGTATTTATTATGTTGAATGATATCAACATCTTTATGCTGCAGAAATTGCAGCTTTATCTCCCATAGCTATTTTTTACGGTTGTGGGTGTGATTTTCCTTTTACATGTATACAACAACAACAACAACAACAACAAATCCTTTTACATGTATGCCTTCTAAAATTTATTTATCAAAATTATTCATGCTACTTCAACTATTAATGATTTGTTTACGAAGTTTTTTCATCATTGCTTAAGTTTTCTAATCAGTTTTAAAATAATTCTTTCAATAAATCATTTTCAGAATCATTAATCTCATTGCACGCATGCAAATCATCTTTTTTTCATTTTCCTTACCATTTTTCATTATTTTTGTCTCAACATTAATTTGTAAACTATTAATTTATAATAGATTAGATACTAGGGAGGATGAAAACTATATGTATAAACTAGCCAAATAATGAGAAAAAAGAAGTAAAGATCTAATTCAAGTAAAGTTTATTAAAGATGAAAATAAAAAAGTATTTTTTTTTAGAAAAAAGATATTTAACATAAGTGGGTGAGTTATTTTGATAATTTCATTAATAAAGTTTATGAAAATATGCTCAATCTTAGTGATCTTAATATCGTTAATAATTATAAAACGTTTCATTTTTACCGGCGTATTAGTACAAAAGAAGTTGAGGAGGCTTTAAAGAAAATAAAGTGTGGAAAGTCTGTAGGACTTGATGATATCTCAATTGAAGTGTGGAAATATTCAGAAGATGTGGGAGTTTCTTGTCTTCCTATATCATTAATATTATTTTAAAAACTGAAAGGATGCCTGAGGAGTGGAGGAAGAGTATTTTGGTCCTCCTTTTTAAGAATAAAGGGGATGCACAAGAGTGTGCAAATTATAGAGGAATTAAGTTGATGTGTCATACTTTAAAATTATGGGAAAGGGTAATTGAAGAAAGAGTAATTGAACATAGGTTAAGACGTATTACAAAGATTTCTCATAATCAATTTGGATTTATGTCGGACAGGCCTTCTATGGAAGCTTTACATTTATTGAGAGGTTTGATGGAGAAGTTCAGAGATAATACGGAGGATCTTCATTGGATTTTTTTTTATTTAGAAAAAGCTTACGATAAGTTTCCAAGAGAAATCCTTTGTAGAGTCTGGAGAAGAAAGGTGTTGATATAACTTTTATTCAAGTTATTAAAGATATGTATACTAGAGCTGTTACTTGTGTTCGAATTGAAGGAGGATTGACCAAATATTTTCCTATTTCTGTTGGATTACATTAGGGATAAGCTTTAAGCCCATATCTTTTGTTTTAGTTATGGATGGTCTTACTGGACATTTACAGGAGGATGTACCTTGGTGCATGCTTTTGGTTAATGATATCTTTCATGTGGATAAGACGATAGAAAAAGCCCAGGAAAAACTTTAATTATGAAGGTCTACATTGGAGTCTAAAGGCCTTCATTTGAGTAGAACTAAAATTGAATGCATGGAATGTAATTTTAATAGTAGCTCTAGTGACAAAAGTGTAAGTTTGATCAAATTATAAGAAGGTGTGAACGATTTAGGGTCTGTTTGGGGCAGCTGCAGCTTATACAGCTTCTGCTGATAAACAACTGATTCTGATAATTTGCTAATGGACAGCTGATCCGAATAAGCTGGCTGGCTGTTTGGTTTGTGAGTTTGGAAAACAACTTATTCTGGATAAATGACCACGCTGCCCCTGTTCTGAATAAACTGTTTAATTGTTTGTTTGGTGTGTTTTGTAAACAACTTATTCGCCGATTTTTTTAGTTGAATGAATACTTTATCACACAGAATTTGTTATTTTCTCAAATGTCACAACATAAAAATGCAAAAGAGTTTAATAATATTTATATAACTCAAAAAGTTTCGATTACATCAAATAAACACAGTGACATATACGAAAGTGAAATACACATTTACATACTAATATGGATTATAATATGACAAAAAAAAAGAAAAAATAACATGTTAAAATTACAAGAAAAAATATGACAATATTGATTTTAAAATGTAAAAGCATATCACGACGAATGTTGCCCGGTTCTGATACTTCAAAACCCTGAGCAAACTTGTCTGATTGGGATAACGTGGAAACGGAAGAATTCGAACCACATGCGGTTGTCTCCCGTTGTGATACTATCAAACTCCTAGCATTTGTGTCCAATTGAGATATCGTAGAAACAGTTGCACTGTCGGTACCCTGAAGAATTTGCAGTCTTCCGGTCCTTGTCCCCATTGCGCGCACCTGTAGAATTGTCGCCCGTAGCTATTTGTCCGTCGTGACGTGAGTAGCAATGACGGTAGCCCACATCGGCACATCATTTGCCCAGACTTCCCTGAATACCTCGAGCTCATCGTCTTGCAATTATTATAAAAAGAGTAGATTAGTCAAAAACTAAAGGGAATAAAAAAAACTCAACTTACCAAAGTGTGGAAGCAATGGTTGCTGACAACAACAAAGTTCTTTGGCCATCCAAGGCGCTCCACTATTATCTCATTAAAATTAATAGACATAAAAAATATAAAAACTTGTTTCTCAATCTTATTACATAGGCATGTGCATCATAAGGCTTGGCAAGTGCATCAAAAGCCTAAAGGTGCATCAAA